GAGGACCAGTGGCTCCAGAAGAAGAGGGCTGATCAGTTTCCGAGTAAGAAGGCTGTTTTCCATCGGGTTTTTTCGCTTTCATCTTAGTTTTTGCTGGCTTTTWCTGGCTGACGCTTTYCTCACTTGTTTCCTTCRGGCTTTTCGAAGCGGCAGAGTTAACAATAGGTTGATTACTCTCGTAGGTTACGTGACGATTGTTGTCAGTTGTCAAGCCTGAATGATATGCTAATTGTGAACTAAGCACTGTTATTGTTGTTTTAAGAGCTTCATTTTCTTGTCGTAGTTTAGTGATTTCGATTTGCATATTTGACTCTAATTTGGCGGGAAAATTCGTAAATAGATTTTTGATTTCTTTGATTTCTCGTCGAATCCTTTCAAATTCTTGTTTATATGAGTCTGAATAGTTTGAARGAGAGGCTTCCAATGTAGAGGCATCATCGAGGCCGTTTGGTGTCTCATAAGGAAGGCTAGAGGAACCAGCATCTGCATCACAATGAATAGTGCTCGATCGAGCTGATGGGGGATCCTGTAGCGCAATCTTCAGTCTTTCAACAAGAACAGCCTTCGATCCAGCATCGCTAAGGTTTCTTTTCCTCAGCTCATCTTGAAGGTCTGGTTTTTTGATTCCATGTAGCGAGCTCTCGGGTCCTAAGCGTCTTTCCGTAGTCTCGGTGTGGTTCGTGTTTGAAGCCATTGAATTAAGTAAATTCTCGCCAAATTGTTAGATAATTTTCCCCAAATTGTTAAATGCGGGTGAAATACGCCTCTAATATCGCCAGAAGTCGATTTAAAACTTGAATAGAAGATATTATGAGTAAACGATTTTAACAGTATTAGCTTTGAGCGGAGCGTTGACAGACACGTCTACACTCCTTCCTTCTTGTCGTTATTGTTGATGTTGCTGTAGTCAGCTCTTACTCTTCATTTTTTTTGTTTRCAATTCGCATTTACACATTAATTAGACCAGCAATCCCCAAGTCTAAAGGAAGGTGACCGAAAATGTTGAATATTTAAAAAAATAAAAAATAAAAAAAACATATGTGATAATTCTAATTAAATAAGGAGAGCAGGGAAGTGATGGGCAGTGGGGTTGTTAATGCTTTTTCTATATCTATATATTGCGGGGAAGTCTGGTGGAATCTCTTTACTTACTTCCGGCACGGAAACCTTATAAGGTTGCGTTATAAAGACTGGTTTGTTGTCATTGACATCGATTACAGTGACAAAGAAGGTTTTTTCTCCCTGAAGAAAAATAGAAATAATTATAATGATCAGAAATGATAATAATCGTCMCAACAATGATGATGATGATCATTATGACTTACCCGTCTTGTTTCATCATTTTGTTTGTCGCTTACAAAAGCCTTGAACTCATAATTTGACGTTAGCTGCARAAAATAATATGTTAATCAGTGTTATATGAAACAATAAATAATTTCTTTTTAGTGACGATACGAAATAACAAATTTAACTAAGATGAGAGATTTGCGCATGATCAGACATGAACTATCAATCCAAATATAAAATGTGGCACAGGATGAGGATGCGTTTGCAAAGGCCCTAAAYACTCATAATTTTGGCTGTTGGCTGATCAGGACTTCGAGAAAATTGCTTGACCTTCTTACTTCATCTRTGCACTCGTTTCGCTCATGCCTATATATACGATATTATGAATATGGTCTTTCTTAAGTTCGGGAACCCTTCAAGTCCATCTATAAGCTTCTCAAGTCATTTCTAGCAAGGCATTGGCTCTAAAATAGCTGATAAAGCTCGATAAGRCAGTTTTTCTGAAGGAAATTTCCTTTGTACAGCCCTCTAATTTTTATCCATTTTTTTAGTTTTGCAACATTATTGATCTGTAGCATTTGATAATGATCTTTGTCGATATAGATATATACCTCTCTGTTTAGTTTAGTTTTCAGAGTTAGATTTACCGACTTTTGGTCGGCATTCAAAGACCCAACGTTGAATAAACTTTGACCCGTTGAGTCTAAACTAAAGTACATGGGATCGTTCTCGTTGTCGCTTGCACTCAAAACGAACACCATCGAACCTGAAATAAATAAATCATACAGGTTCGTCATCAGAGGAGGTGTATCGCAGTCTCTTTCCACGCAAAGAAGGATCGATACAGGTCAGTTTTTTGGCAAATTAGCCAAAGGTAATTTCGTCCACTCTTGATGAATTGCAATCTGCAGAACCCGTAATCTCTCAAAAACTCGACCGAGTAAACTTTCAAGGCGACTTTCCCAGGAGAAAATTTTCTTTAAAAGAAACAATATACAAATGAAATCTATAAAAACTATGAAAGGGTTTATAATGGGTGATACTGGCGTGATTTTAATGGCAGCAATGTACGTCACATGGTACAGAAATGACTTGGATATTTTGTCAATGCTTCGCCTGATTGTTTCTTTGGTCTGAGTCATGGATCGGCATCAATGTCTCAAATGAGTAGGGAAATTTATTAAGCCCGCGCTTAAGCTTGTGCACTTAATGATTTTTCCCTTCGGCACGTTCAGAAATTATAAATCCAGAGAGCATTTGATCCCAATGAGCTTACCGACTTTAACGTCTTCTTTTATTGTTATAACTCCACTGCTCGTTGTAAAATGAGGCTTGAAATTGTTCGCTGAAATAAAATGAGGAAGGATTGTTCGGAAACCAATCGCGTTCAAGTTCTTTGTTGTGGGGTTAGTCGTTGTTCTGGTCGACCCCAGGGGACCCGAGAAAGAGGTTGTTATTGCAGGTTGAGTAGGCGCCATACACAATAGAACTGAAAACGAGGCTCAGTGTATACAAAACGATTACCTTTTTTGTTAGTCAACTGAAATATCAAATGTTCATGTTACTGACTTTTGATATATAGAATTTGGTGTTTGTCAATAAACGGATGTAAAAACCCACAGATATCATCCTCGACTCGGAGTTTTTTTGACTCACCATACATCAGACCAAGAGAAAATGAGGTAAGAGAAGGAATCCCTGTTACCCATCATATTAGCCCTTCGTTCTATTTTTAGAAAAAGAGCTATTTTTAGTTTGTTACCAAGCCGGCGCGACCACTACTCGTTTATCGGAATTTGATATCGGCTATTTTTCATCGCCAAAAACTGAATGTCAAATA